ATACTTGCGCTTCAACGGCGAGAAGCAGGCGACATTAAGGGGCTGCAATAGGTGAGACGAGTGCGCAGGCATGCAGAGAAGAATGATATTCTTCTCCTTGCAAAGATCTTGAAAATCGACGGAGCAGTGGCTCTCATGGCCGTCGATAATGAGCAGTCGATACCCACCCACAGTCTGCCTCTTTGTATAGGTATCAAAGTGCTCTAACCACGCAAGAGCAAGCTAATTATTCGTCCAGCCATTAGGACTAACTTCAAGAACCTAGTTAGTAGGCAGGTCTTTAAACCAGACGTCAATAAGCACCTTGCCTGCAAAGATAACGAAGGGGGGTAGCTAGCGACCTAACGCGCCCACGCCTTAGATCACAGTAACCCACTCACGGTTACCTGGCTAGATCCGCTTCTTTTTGCTATATCCCTCTAAGCCTGTGATAACTAACTATAATAAAATCTTGCCTATTATAAAGCTAGTTTCGTCAAAGTTGTAGATATCGTCGTCTACAATACCCCACTTCTGCTTTGTCGCCTGAACTAAGTCAAACTAGCGCTAGATAGCTGCTAGGTCCTCGCAGGTAGCTCGCTGGTGATTGTAGGACGGCTCTAGCGCGTGCGGAGCTTAGGAGTCCTCTTAACAAAGTTATCAATCTAGTTCTTGCTAATAGGGTTGCTCCTACGCTTATGTAGTAGTTTATTAGCTATTGCTTAAATGTTAGGCTTTGTAGGCGCAAATCCTTGCGCAGACTCCTTAAGAATATGCTTAACTATAGCCTCCTCTTCTAGCTTATTTAGGCGCTTCGAATTCGCTTCGCAGTCGCGTCAAGAGCGCTTTCTAGCGCGTTGGTCAGATAGGGTTCTTTAAGGCACGTTATAGTGTTACAAGTAACAACGGGAAGGATCTCCTCCCTGGTGATGACAGTATGTTGGTTGAGGAACCACTTGGGATCCTAACCGGAAACGAAGGGCATCGCGGGGCTCGGTCACGTGATGTGCCATCCCGCCAAGGCTGGCCATCCGGGATGGCAGCACACGATGGGATGGCGGTGCCATCCCAACCATCCCGCCAAGATGGGATGGACAGGATGGCAAGACTGGAAGCAATGAGGATATGAGGATGGATGGATTTCATTATTTACTCTCGTTGTGGTCAACTCAAATTGTACTTTCTTACTAGTATCTTTACTTAACAAGATTGTTACTTGTTAATCTATAGCAATATAGATTGGATTTGTCAATCAACCTTTGGTTAACTCCTATAACTCTTTTCCACCAAGAACATACGGCAAAATCCCACGGAGCTGATCCCGTAAAGGCTCGCTCGCCCTAACCCGGAACGAGATTAGAGAAGTATCAGCAATCCACCCCGTGTAACATATAGATAGAGGCAGCACGTCTTTAGCTTTGAACACGTTGCGATTGGATATTAAAAAGAGCAAGCTGAAGATCTAATTCAGGATAGGCTAATAAATGTTGACGTTGAGACATGACGTGTTGCAGTCTCAACGTCGACGCGCTGGTGGGGCGTGAGCGACTCGCTTGGGTGAGCGACTCGCTTGTGAACCACGTTATATAATTAATATAAAAGCTACTCTAGTATATATAGCTAGTAAAAAGCCTAAGAACGCCTATTATAGCTATAATAAAAGTAATAGTCTATTTAAAAGTACATTATTCTAAAGAAGTTCTTATTAGGCTCTTATATAAACTACTATTATGAATCTAAGACTAAGCGTTATAGCTTCTATAAGAAAGTCTCTATAAGTAATAAATAACCTAATTTAGATTTAGATAATTAGCCTTATAAGAGCTATAAGGTTCTTTTATTTTTATTCACTAAGAAGTCTTCAAGTTTTATTAAGGTCCTTTATAAAGGTATATACTTATTAGATTAGATATACTATAGTCTATTAACTCTTATATAGACGCCTATAGAGCCTTTACTATAGTTAATTAATATAATTTAGAGCTTAGTAGTTTCTATAAGAGGCTAAAAAATCTTTTTAATTTATAAATATATCTTTATAACACTTAATAATAGTTATAATAATAATACTTAGCTATTAAGGCCTATATAAGTACTTTATAAATAGTATACTACCTTTTTAGATAGTTATATAAATATATAGTTTCTAAATATTATTTACATATACACTAAAATTTGTCTAATAATACTCTATACACGTGACCTAACTAAGAAGATTTGCCTTTGCCCCAAACAATAAGCCGTGGCCCACACCCCTGGCATTGAGGCATATTATGTATGTCGGATGTATGACTTCGAACCGAACACGAGTCTAAAGACGAGAACTTTAGGTTAAGGATGCGCTGGCAGACAGACAGGGGGGGGAAGCTTACTCTGGATTTCCGTTTCTCATATTACATGCTTGACATGGGACGCAAGGACGTTACTTCGTACGTACATTTTCAAGGGGGCACATGTAAGCTGGCATCACGTGGGGTACTCTGTCAAAGCTGACTGACTACTCGCGAAAAAAAGGGGGGGTTCACGGATAGCGGGAGATAGGCGCATGAGAAATTCTGCCGTCCTATGTAAGATAAGATTTTCATTTGGGAGTATTTCGAGTTTCATAACACAGCCAGACGTGCTTTGTGCAATGAAAATTATTTCCTCTTCATTCCGCTTATCTTTGCTATCATGCTAGTTAGGCTAAGCTCCCAATAGAGCAACCCACTGAAAAAAAAGCAAGTGACAGTCATGCAAGTCGCGCAATAGGGGGAAGTTGAGAATTCCAAGAAGTAGGATTATATTGTATGGTGGTTCTATGTAGAGAAGGTACAAAAGTCTAATTACAGATAGGGAGGCTATGCTTGAGAGGCCGGATTGACGGGTAATATGACGGTTACAGTATGTTTGCAAGAAGCACTCTATGTGCAGTTGAGGAGGAAGCCGTAAACGGTCGAAACCTGCGAGCAGGCAAGGGGGCTGGTCTCCTCACTGCGTGCGCAGGCACTCGGGATATGGGTCTCGGCCCATAGACCAACACTGTATTTACAGTTAGCTTTTTGGCACGCTTTTTGGGAATGAGAGAAGGTAGGAACACTTACCCAGGTCCAGTCTCCTTGTAGAGAGTAATGTCGTACTGGGGGTTTGATAGGTCGACACCGTTGGAACCGTCGGTTCCGACGCTGAAGGCGTACTTGCTGTCCCCACAACCGAAGACCTTGCTAGGAATCGTGAGACCAGGTTCGACTTTGCCGGTTGAGCATGTAACCGGGATGCCGTCAACACCAGTCACATTGAAGCTGAAAGAATTGGCCCCGGTGTTATCAAACTCAAAGGTGTAGCCGGCGATGTTGACGTTCTCGCCGCACACGGTGCTGGGAGGGAGGACGGCGGCACCGGCAATGGCGGCGCCAGCGAAGAGAGTGGCAGCGGAGTACTTCATGGTGATGATTAGGAATTAGAGGGTTGGTGTTAGAGTGGTGTAGATGTTGATGAGATGTTGAAGAGTGCGGTGTGGATGTCGACTATAGGAGGGTCCGATGGCTGTATTTATATGCAATATCTTCCCTGGCCCAATATAGTAACACGACGCTCAGGTCACTCGACTGAAGGTCTTGAACCTAGTAGGTAAGCGTTAGTGCTCGACATTGCAGTCTTCCAGGGTGGGGGATACGAGATATGACGGCATCCTAGCAACATTGCCTCCACAAGCGGACATACCCCTGCCAACTGGGAAAAGATCCGAGCAAATCTCGTATAACGGCAAAGCTATGTACACCTGTGATGTAACTCCTCCACACAAGTCAAATCAGGGGTATTGGCTCGATGAGCTGTCGCTGCACTTGTCGACAACATCGTGGTAGTCGTGCCCAACTCTCTATGTTTTCGGAATTCCGTTTTGCGGATCCACTCGGACATGGAAGCCCAGGACAATTTCGTACGAATACGAGAATGGACTTATGCGCTGACACCGACGCTGAGCACCCCAACGCGTCCCCGACCTTTTTCACCCAGTCTGGGGAGAAAAAACGTCCTTTAGTATGGTAGCCGTTTCTCTCGAATCTGAGGCTGTCAAGCCACGGCCGAGTTACTTACTGTAGTATAGATGGACCCTACGTAGGCTGCACGCCACACCCGCCCCCAGGAAGCCAAAGCCACTACTCGGCTGACGGCACGCCAGTGTTGCTTGTGGATGGTCATGTAACATCGCCCATAGAGCCCGTGCATGTGCATGGGGTGTCTGAGCATCATTCCATGCCAGCTTCTACGAAAATAGCAGTCGCTAATGTGGAGGCCAACGTGCTCTTGGGCAGAGTCAATCGAGTTAATATTTATTGAACGCAGATCCAGCAACGCAGACATGGATGACCAGTTGAGTTGGGTACAGCGCCACCAGTCGGGGCATCTGGACATTCGGCCTCTTCTCCACCCGCAAATGATCCCGAGCCACTCAGTGAGCCCGGCGTCTTCACTGTTCTATAATAGGCAGCACTTTGTGTTCAGTGCAGATGTCAGAACTTTGACTAGTCATTTTTTCCGACCGCGTGCGCCATTTGCTGCAAGGCAGTTGTCCGGGGACTGTGGTTTAACTGGACACTGACAACGGCCAAAGAGCTGCAGCTAGATTTTGATGATGTAGTTTATTCCTTTGGTGGCGATACGGCCTTGGGTTCCTGCGTCCGCATGTTAAACCGGATATCCAACATGCAGCGCCAGGGGCACGCGAGCTAGTACCATCACAGAAGGAGCCTGCTTCCCGGGTAGTTCCACTCCTCGTGGTCAGATTAGCTTGCAGAGAAGATCACAATACCAATACGAATATCGAAATTCAGGTACACAGACTGACTCGGCGGTGAAGAATCGCGTCGTGTTTATTGTCCGTATAGAATATTTTATGCTAATCTGATGTTGTGGGAGACGAAAATAGCAACGCGTAGAAGGGTATAGAACATGATCGCTGAATCGATTTGGTATAAGAAAACGCCGCAGATGCATATCGCTCGAAATGTGCAGGAAACCCGAGTTTTCTAAAATGGAGCGAAGCGTCAAAAGTTAGCGGCGCCATAGGTAAGAAATTCTTCGATCGCTCTTGACTCCGCGATTTTCTTCGTTGCTGGGCCTAGAGAGACGAGAGAAAGGTGTTTTGAGAGTGGTAGAATCTAAGAGTGAGCCGGTATTGGACCACGTTCGCGCTCGCTGTTGGGTGAGAGTGGTCTTGTACTGTTCCCAGTAGCCATCTGTGGCGGTACTAACGGTACTCGGGCTGCCTTTAGAACACGTACTGTCTGGGGCTGATACGGTAGAAGTAGATCGCGGGAGACACGGCTTCCTTCCAAAGAGGAGGGCGTGCGCCTTGACGGCAGTGGGTTGAGAATGTGTGTCTGCGCAACTTGGCGAGCTGCATGATGGCGGTATCGATAGAGCGAGGTCATTCATCGACTCAAATTCAGTAGGCTGGCGGACGTCCTGCTTAGCTCCTGATTGTTTGTTGTCAAAGTCAAGCTGAAATGCCACTCGCCGAGAGCTCTTGCGCAACAATGGATGTACATGGCTGTGTGGCACGATAGGGATGTGCAATGGCTTGGTCTTGGTTGACTCTGTTGTTGCCCCAATAGGAACAAGGCCGCCTAGAAGGCCGCTCTCCTCTGCATCGCTAGTTTTTTGTATACCGTCGCATGCACTCGACTTAGACGACGCTGCGCTTACCCCTACACTCCATAATGAGCTCCCCGTGGAACTAGTACTATCCGACCGGCTGGGGCGGTCTCCTGTGCCAGCGTGTGTAGACGGCTTCGTAGAACGATCGAGCTGTGAGAACTCAAGTAGCGGTGATCTCGGGGCGGTATCGATACTCCCTCCCAAAGTCTTGATGCTGCACGAGACTGAGGGTGTGCGTGATCTTAGCCAAGATGTCTGAGGCCCACTTTTTCCCACTGGGATCGACAACGGGGGGTCAGGGTAACCGGAACACATCGGATGGACGTCATTTGTGGGCGAAGAGGTTGCTATTGCCTCTTTTAGTACATCATCGGTGGGGGCGCTGCTGGAGGAGAAGCGGCTGGACTGTCTCTTCAGGCTGTTCCGGCGAGATCCCAGTGAGGATAGTGAGAGTTGTGTGAGTGACCGCACTGATGATTGACGCAGCGGTGAAACTTCCATGGATCCTCGCCGGCTCAGGTTTTCCGGGCTGAAGTAATCTTCCCTCTGACAGTCGGGTTCAATCGAAAATGGACTGGGTTGCGGCTCGGAAATGTATCCATCGATAGCTTGAGCAACATTGAGCGGAGGGGTAGATGAACGATTGGCGTTGGTGGGCTTTGGGGTCGGGTTGGCAACATAGCACAAAGGGTACGTTGAGCTTTCGGAATCGCGCACCTGCCTGGGAGCCTGAAGAGCAGACAGCAGGTATTGGAGCGTACCGTAGATGAGGAGCCATCTAACTTTGCGTGCATCCATCACTGTGATCTTCTCCTCGCGCCGACACGTACTGACCGAATGGGACTTTTCAAAGTACATGTATGCCTGGACAATCTTCGAGTTTGTGACCTGCTGATCCAAAGTATTTGTTGCAGCCATCAAGGCACCGCTCATGGTATGTAGCTCATGGGTTTTTTGATGCTGACTTGCTAAAGTGAGCTGTCTCAAGGCCTTGTGAGAGTCCGATTTTTTTGAAGGCGACACGTATGTCGGCAACAGGGGCAACGGGTGTGGTAGTGAGCTGAAATTATGCCGGTGATCAAATGTAATGACATTCTGCAGGACACAGATACCACCACTCGCAGGTCTTTGACAAGAGATATCATGAGTAGAATCTGTGTCCACAAGATAGTCATAGAGGCTCTTGAAATCATAGTACATTGATTTGTAAAGAGATTTGGGGTATGTGGCGCCTCGTGGGGGTGGCCAATACCCAAACTTTTCAGCGTAGAAGGTATGTAAAAACTGGCGGAATCGGTCGAGATGGCTTCGGGCACCATCGGTTAGCCCAAGGTAGGCGGGAGAGAGATCCTCTTGTAGGAAGTTGCTAATCGCAATAGAGACGCGTTCAAGATGAGTGTCGACTTCGCGGCGAGCTCGAGTAATCAAGGCTTTTGTGAGTTTTGAGGTAAGCTACATATTGGATTAGCTTCGAGTTTTGGGCATAGGTGCTGGCTTCGTACTGAATATTCCGGGCTGAGGTGCAAGCTCTCGTTCATGCCGACACAGTGGGCAAATGCATCGATCCACACATCTTTGAGCTTGTAATGCTCTGCATAAAAAAGACTGGCAAGGGCGTAGTCTGTGCATTCCACCAAATCCCGGTAGCCCTGGTCTTCTGCGTAGGATAAAAAGTCCTGAATGTTGTTGGGGTGGTCAGGCCGAAAGAGACTCAACCTTTCTTGAAGGTCCACAAATGCCTGGCCCATATGCTCACCGACCAATGATTTACCCAGTAGGAAAGCAAAGAAGTTACGAGTGGTGATGTGCCATTGGAACGATGCTTGCACGGAAACGTCCGCTGGAGCAGGTATGAAGAGCTGGACGGTTCGCGGCTGTTGGCTTATGTTCACGAGCGAGCTGGACCTTCGCTTGAGTTGGGGTACGAATCTCGGCGCAGAATCGAGCTGAGCATCACATTGACTGATCATGGCCTCGCACTTTTTTTGGCGCAGGATTCTATACGGAATGCAGAAAGACGGGCCGCGGCGTGAGACTCCTCTTGCATGCAAGTGTATGTAGCAGTCCCCATCTTCGTACCATAATTCTGGGTCCTTTAACGAGCTGTTAGCGTAGCGCCCAAAAAAGCCAGGATGCCACATACCCTGCGCAGACCATGGTCCCAGTCGTTCACAGTACGCGTCAAGCCAGACCACCGCTGGACTCTGGTAGGATGCATCGACTCTCGTATTTTGGCAGAATAGGCGGCAACGTGGTGGCTGTGGAATCCGAGCAAGGTGTGGTGGCGCTTGGCCAGGTTGACGTGTTGATGGAGACTGAGCACGTCTGTGAGAAAGCCCGCCGAATGATGCCGCGAAGGCTGCCTGGCTTGAGACTCTGGGCTCAGTATTACAAAAGGTGCTAGAAGGCGAGGACGTGCGACTGGGATCAAATATGAAGAAAGTGAGTCTCTGACGTTGAGTGTGATGGGCAGAGCGGCCCCCGGCGCCAATGGTAGCCTAAAAAAGCGTGTGCATGCGTACCAGAGAATGAGATACACAAGCCGAGCACGGACAGGGATGTATAGCAATAGGCTTGCTTTGTCTCCCGAAGGCGAGGTCAGGACTAAACCGAGGCTTGGTGGCAGGCGAAGGGGCGACGCGGCAGCGGTGTATGTATGTATATAGGCAGGCAGGCAGGTAGGCAGGTAGGCATCCAGGCCCTTGTCGCGCCTTCAGCTGTTGCGACGCCCGTCGGAGCCATGATGGCGTGTCTCTGGCTTGGTGAGGGAGTGGGCAGAGCGAATGGCGACATGGCCATAGCCGAAACGGGCCATCGGCAGCCAGTGGCTTGCGCTGGCCCGTCGATGGCGCCGCTGGACTGGCGAACCGGCAGGGATTTGCTCTCGCTGCAAAGGGCAGAGGGCGAGGGCGTGGGCGTGGGCGTGGGCGTGGGCGTGGGCGTGGGCGTGGGCGTGGGCGTGGTCGTTGCCGAGGGGCAGCATTCGGGGCCAACGAATATGCATCGAGCGGGCCACCTCTACCGCGCCCGCGCCCGGCCAGTGGGTGCAGGTGGCTGCTCGTCGTCATAGCCGGATGCGTTGTACTGTATCAGTATTGGTATCCTTGAGCTGGACCCCGCAGACGCCTGGCACACTGCCGTGCCTGGGCCCGCGGTGTGGGCCATGGGAATGAACAGCGAGGCGTTGGGCGTGTCCAGGCGGCACGGCCATCTCCATCAGCTGCCGGCGTGGCGTTATCCGTGTCGGTGTCGCTGTCGCCAAGAGGCTGCCACGGGGTGTTTTTTTTCAGCAGCCACCTCTTGTCGCGGCCATGTGCCATTGTGGATGCGGGAGGCTGGCGTGCGCATCGACCTGATGTGAGCGTGCCGTGTCCAAAAAGGTGTGCATGTATCGTGGTGTCGCTCACCATGGCACGCCCCCATGGACGAATCGAGACATCGGAGCGGGGGTGCCGCCGCGCCGCGGATCCACAGCGATCGCTGTTCCATGCTGGCTGGCTCGGCTCTCCTCACAGCAGCCCCAGCATCACTTACCCTTACATGACCACCTCGCTCCCCCTGCAAACAAGCTATCGATTACAACACCATCATGCCTATCCATGAGCGCGAGAACAATGGCCATTGTCGCACGGCATCTCCGCGCCTCGTCTAACCCCCAGCCCAACCCAACCCACGTCGGCGGCGGCGCGCTTCCACTGCTGAATCTACCGCACCATCCCCTCCCATGGCGCTGTCACACCACCCTCTGGACACCTCTGGAAGCACTGACTGACCTGTAGTCGCTGCCATGGGTTTCTGTGCGCTGCGTCACCGCCAGAGGCGCACGGCATGCCACCGTCAAGCTGAGGTCTTCTGAGACAGGTTCCTCGCTATACGATACTGCACAAGGAACAGTGCTTCTTGCCTCACCGGATCGACTTTCCCGCCTTTTGATAAGCGGTTACGTGGCAGTCTTTGCGTACCCGAAGAACACGCTTTCTTTTGAACATGCACGGCCTTTGGAGGCTTATCCTCAGAAGCTCGCCAGTCTCGCTGTCTACCCATTGAAACGCTAGCGTGCCTAACCAACAAGGCGCCTGTTTCCCACTGAATTTGCACATAAACTCTCTGCAGAAGTTAAATGTTCAGCTGCCCCGGGACTCGCTGCCCACCATTAGATGGCGCGTCTGGACAACGAGCTGAAATCGCTGCATAGGAATGCGAGCTGCATGGAAAGCCGCTTCATCGAGTACATGGAAGGGTTGGGTAATTGCGAGTGGCAACACTCTCGAGCCAAGCTATTCACTCCGGGCGCATTGGAGGGGTAAACGGCAAATGGCTTTGAAGGTTTTTTTTCAGTCATCCATTTGTGCCGACTTTGCACATATGCAAGATAGCGAGCGAATACGCGGCCTTGCTTATTCATTGACGCAACGCGTAAACCCAGGGGTTTCAGGGCTCTCTGGTGGCATATGTCTGAGCGCAAAGCGAATGGCAGTATTCTTGTCCACGTCATCTACAGTCCTCACAAATGGTACCGTCTGGATTCCTCTTGACTTCGACCCCGTTGTCCGCTACTCTCTGGTCCTCTTTCCCTTCTTCTTCCGTCTTTGTTTCCTTCTTTTTGCCATGCTTGTCTGAATGACCCAGGTCTCGCGAAGGGTCTATACAATCTCGTACCTTTTGCTTAAGCACTTTTGTTTCTACAGCAAGTAAGTTTCACGATTTCCACCGACTATATCGTCGCAAAACAAACCTGGAAACCCTCCTTCTGTCTTTCTGTCCCAGAGAAGTACTTTCATTGCTTCAGCAGTCTGTCCTTGTTCCACGGGTGGGAGGTATGTCTTCCAAGGTCAGCTGTTGTAAACTGAGGTCATGAAAAGGTAGAGCCTTGCCAGCTCGACGGTAAAGAGCCCGCCAGTTGCAGGTATCAAGGCTATTTCACCAATTTGCGTCCCGAAAGTAGACAAGAGCTCTTGGCCGAACTGGGTGCGTATTAGTAAAGATTGCTGGCGAAGTTTAGGGAGGGATGATACGTAGGCGGCTCGCAACATCCAGCGGCATTGCGTGCAGTAGGTGATTGCGACTCGTGGTAGGGCGACCGGCGCAGTCTGCATTGATGCCATGACTGTTGAATGGTAGGATGGTTTGTTCTGGCAGTATCCACGTGGGCGTGCAAGGTATGCTGGGCTTATCGATAGCGCACGTGTGGCGCCATTATAGGTTTGCCAGATTGCGTTATTACTTGAGTAAGAAATGACTGATAATAAGTTCAAAAAGATAGTGACTTTATCACAACCAAGTGTGGGGTGTACACCCTCTGCTTTGCTTTGGTATGGCCGCTGTACCCTCCTCGCTCTAATCATCTCTCAATATAATGTCAACGCAGGGCTGCAGGACCCTGTCAGCCCTACTCCTCGGAGGCCGACGCGTTTCATGATGTCATTCCGCGTACTATAGATATTTTTTTGATGAATTTTGGTAGAGTGTGCCAGAGAGAAGAAAACTGGAGGGGCAGGACGAATGTAAGGAGCCAGGATCCCCCTTACTGTGCCGTCCCGAGATGTCTTCAAAGCTGCGGTCAAAAATCAAGCATAGGCCCGGTCATTGAATAATATACCGATGTCCAATGCAGATACGTAGCCGATTATCTAGACTAGATAATATTTGCCCCTAGAATGACTCGCGCGCAGTCTGATGAGAGAGAACTACCAGCAGGATCTCACACACCAACATACGCCAGCCTCCTAAGATAGCGGCAGTGACCTTGTGCTGATGGCTGTGCTGATGATTCTGTATATTAGGAGGGCTCGATATGTACTGTATACATAGGTACCAAGACTTGGCGCGTGGACAGTTGATCGCAAAGGCCGTGCGCCGCAGGGTCCAAAGAGCGTAATTTGCGGAGAGCCCCCCCAGACAAACACAACTTCTTTCAACAACAAGACAGGGGCTCATCCTGCGACGCTTTGAACAGTCTACACTTGCTCTGGTGCTGTGGTCGTTACAACCCAATTGGCATTCGTCTTGCCTGCAGTTGCATAACGCTGTTTTCGAATTTCTACGCTATCCCACGACTCCTTTACCGCCACCTGCCCATCATGCCCAGTCCCTTGAGCCTTCTCTACTACGTCGGCCACCCTGGTGAATTGCGCTCCATCATTCAATGGTACGAAAGCCCGTCTGCGCAAGCTACTATGCGCCTGCAATACTGTCCACGTGGTCGACATGGCTGATAGTCCCTAGGAAAGTTTGGCACAATCCAGTACACGAGCGCGACGAAGCCAAAGAAACCGAGTCCCTGAAGCGATGCTTCCACTTCCTCCATTTGACCAGTCGAAGTTTTACCGCCGTCATCCTCGAATTGCACCCCGAGCTTCTGGTGCCTGTCACGCTATTCTACCTGGCCCTGCGTGGTCTGGATACAATCGAGGATGATATGACGCTCCATCTACAGAAGAAGGAGCCTCTTCTGCGCAACTTCCAGGAAGTTCTGGAGCAGGACGGTTGGAACTTCACGGAGAATGGCCCCAATGAAAAGGATAGGCAATTGCTAGTCGAGTTTCACGTGGTCATTGAGGAATATAAAAAGCTCAAGCCAGCCTACAAAGACATCATCAAGGACATCACAAAGCGCATGGGTAACGGAATGGCAGACTACGCGAAAAACGCCGAGTTCAACGCCGGTGTCAAGACGATCAAGGAATATGAGCTGTACTGCCACTATGTCGCTGGCCTGGTTGGCGAGGGGTGCACGCGCCTCTTCGTTGAGGCTGGACTGGCAAACGAAGCGCTGCTGAAGAAGCCGGAGCTCATGGAGTCTATGGGCCAGTTCCTCCAGCAGGTCAACATCACGCGCGACATCAAGGAGGATTTCGACGACGGACGCCGATTCTGGCCCAAGGAGATTTGGTCCAAGCACGTCGACAATTTCGAAGACCTGTTCAAGCCGGAGAACAAGCAGAAGGCGCTGAACGCCAGTTCAGAAATGATTTTGACGGCCTTGACCCGCGCCGACGACTGCTTGTACTACCTGGCTGGTCTTCGAGAGCAGAGTGTGTTCAACTTCTGCGCGATCCCCCAATCCATGGCCATTGCGACGCTGGAGGCTTGTTTCCAGAATTACGCTCTTTTCCAGAAGAACGTCAAGATCACCAAGGGGGAGGCGTGCCAATTGATGGTTGAGTCGACACAGAACCTGCAGCTCGTCTGTCAGGTTTTCAGGCGGTATGCTCGCAAGATCGCCAAGAAGAACAACCCGCACGATCCAAACTTCCTGAAGATCAGCATCACATTGGGAAGAGTAAGTAACTGAAGAAGGCTGCGTCGCGAGTCTCTTACTGACCCAGTCAAGATTGAACAATTCATCGAATCGATATTCCCATCGCAACAGCCACCCGTCGACCGGAAAGCACCAGCTACAATAGAAGAAGCGGCGAAGAAGCGCAAGGAGGACTCGGAAGCCAACTGGGATTTGATCTATGTCGTTGCAGCTGTGGTTGGAACTGTTCTTGTCATGACGACGCTCATGGTATGTCCTTTCTTCACGAGCACTCGAGTCCCGCTAACTTTTACCAGCTGGGCATTGCATGGCTTGCAGGCGCCCGTTTCGACATTGCCTGGTCCCAAGCGAGACAGGACATCAGCAAGGTTCTCAACATGGGTGCCAGTCAGGCACCTGCGCAAGTCACGCAGGTCCTGGAGACTGTTGTGGAAAAGAGCGAACTTTAGCTTTATTTTGTTTCACGATAATGCCCATGTGTACTATATTAGCCCCTGATGAGCCAAGGCCAGTATAGAGTTTGATAGTACTAATTTTAATCCTGCACCATGTCACAGGCGACATTGCGACTGAAGCGTGATGTCATAACACATGTCGAATTCTGCTTGCTGCTTGTGGTGGTTTGCGGCCATGGTTGGGCTGAAAGTCAAGGGGTGCTTGCGCAGGTCCACCCTCGGCTCGACGATAAGGCAGTCTCTAGGACGGTTCCTTTCTTGCGGCATCTGGGCCTGCCGTAAGCACTAGAGGCAGGCTGTTCTGGGTAGCTCTGCATATTGCTTTGTTTTCCACGTCGCTGTTTGAGACCCTGGCGCTCCGCTTGTGACACCTTTGAAACTTGGGTCTCTAGCGTGCCAAGACCAGAGCGCTCACACGAATTGCGACTGCACTGCATTATTCTTCCTGACAGACACACCCGCCGCAAACAGCCGCTTTCGCCTCGCCCCTTCTCTACACGTAGTTCCCTAGGCTGCACATTCCCGCGAACGCTCCGCTACAATCGCCCGGTGCGATTGCGACAGCCCCGCCTTCACCTCATCCCGCCCACCACCAGCCGTCTTAAATTCCCCCGCGGCCTCGAGCACCACTCCCAGTCTTTTCCCACCACCCCACGAGACTACACCCCCCGCAAAAACACGACACAAACACCGCCACGATGACCGAAGTCGCAGCAGCAACAAACAGCAACCAGCAGGTTCCGCTGGACACGATTCCCATCTCGCCCACCGACAACTCCGGCGAGGGCCACGAGTCCAGCAGCAACGCAGCAAACGAGGGCGAGATCCGCACCGTCTTCCATGATCCCGAGAACTTCAACGTCAAGCACCCGCTCATGAACACATGGACACTGTGGTTCACGAAGCCCCCGAGCGGCAAGGTACGCCACTTCTTTGTCTATGCCAACTGATGCATTCTTGCTAACCCCCCATTATAGGGAGACAACTGGGCCGAGCTGCTGAAGGAAGTCATCTCGTTCGACTCTGTTGAGGAGTTCTGGGGCATCTACGTAAGCCACTTTGGACTGCGGGCGCAACGTGCACAATCTAACATGGTATCCAGAACAACATCACCCCCACATCCGACCTCGCGCTCAAGTCCGATTACCATCTCTTCAAGAAGGGTGTGCGCCCCGAGTGGGAAGACTCACAGAACAAGCACGGCGGCAAGTGGGCCTTCCAGTTCAAAGATAAAAAGGCAATCAACATCGACGCGCTTTGGCTGCACGTCATGCTGGCTGCCATCGGCGAGAACCTCGAGGATGAGGATGACAACGAAGTCATGGGTGTCGTTGTCAACGTGAGGCGAGGCTTCTACCGTATCGGCCTCTGGACACGTTCCGTTGGTCGCGCCATTCCCGGTGAGGGAGGCAAGGGAAGGACACAGGAGCAGGGCAAGGAGGTTCTGCTCAAGATTGGCAGACGATTCAAGCAGGCGCTGCAGCTCAAGGACAACGACGTGGTCGAGTTTTCCGGACACACCGACGCCGCCCATGCCGGCAGCACTCGCGCGAAAGCCAAGTTCAGTGTCTAAGGGACTCATTACAACTTCAAGCATGCGACATGACGTTGTATCCTTGCGGTATCCTCGGTTGTCTGCGGACATAGTACGCACTCCACGTTTGGATTGCATTTCCTCGATTTATTCCCTGTTTGGTCCAAAAGTATCTCACTAACGGTTCATGATACGGACCGAGTTTCTAGCATGGCGTCTGCATGGGATGGCGAAGGGTGATATGGGGTTCTCACATGAATCATTCGGCCATGGCGGTTATACCTGAGGTGGGTGAATAGTTCTGAGCTTGTATAGACAAACTCCGGTATCTGACATATCTATGAATGAAAAAAAATAAACGCATTTGCCAGTGTGCGATTGACATTGTTAGTGGTCCGGCCATGATGGAAAGTGGTAGAAGAGAGGGCGCGGAGGCGCGGGTTCAGGAATCGCGACGGGGCTTGATCATGTGGAAGAGTGCGCGCCCCCGTGGTGCTCGTTCCGTTTCTTGCGGCGACAAGCGTATACATACATACGTCCGAGGGTGGCTTGTCGCCAGTGCTGGTCTGTGTGCGTGTGAAACCGGGTGAGTGGCCCTGCAAAATGTGCCCGTACGCCCTTAGCGTTAGTGACGTCGGCTGTGGCGGTGCAGTGATTTTCGCTCATGGCGGGCATGTAGCAGCCTGCCGACGCGCGCCCAACTTATATTTGCTTTGGCCCAGACTGCTCACCACCTACCCCTCCACTTTACACATCCGCAATCATGGTCGTAGAAACAGCATACTACGATGCCCTTGGCGTCCCGCCGACAGCGTCCGAGCTGGAAATCAAGAAGGCTTACCGCAAGCTCGCCATCAAGCTGCACCCAGGTACGGTTCCGCAACGACTACTTTCCTCGACCTAGCGACTGACTCGAGGGTAGACAAGAACCCCGGCGATGAGACGGCGCATGCGAAATTCCAAGAAGTATGTATACCTATCCCAGCGGCGGCGTGCGACGGCCCGGCGTGATTATACAAGAGAACTGCGGGGCTCACGGCATGGCAGATTGGCGAGGCATACCAGATACTCAGCGACGAGCAGCTGCGAGCGGCATACGACAAATATGGGAAAGAGGGAGCTATGCCTAGCAGTGGATTCGGTAAGGATATGTGTTCTTGGTGATGGTGCGGCACGCTGACGAGTCACAGAGGATCCAGCCGAATTCTTCACCATGATCTTTGGTGGAGAGGCCTTCGTAGACTGGTAAGACACATTAGCCTGCGAGAGATTGCAGAGATACCCGGAGTAGGCGCAGAAAAACTGACGCTTGCAGGATCGGCGAGATATCGTTGATGAAGGATCTTACCAAGACCATGGAAATCTCACAGCGTGAGATGGAGGCCGAAGCTGCCGCTCAAGCAGAGGCAGAGAGAGTCGATGCCGCAAAGGCCCCCACGACAGAAGGAGCCGAAGCCGCCGCGCCGGCCTCTTCCACAGAGACAACGGGCCCAAGTGCTGCTGCGCAAGCCAAGGAGGCCGAAGCAGCAGCTGAGCGCGCGGCAGCGCACACAGCAGATGCACCGCCTGCCTACGCTGAAGCAGCTCCAGCTTCCGTTGAGACTGCCGCCGAACCGTCAACTTCTGCACAACCCCCACCGCTACCTCCTCGAACAAGCACACCACAGCCGCGAGGCATTCCAATCCGCGCCGCTATCATGGACAAGTCAGAGGAAGAAGCCCGCATGCAGGCCGAGGGTATGACTGATGCGGAGAAGGAGCTCCGGGAGAAGCAGAAGAGAAAGGCCGGTCTCACCAAAGAGCAGCGGGAAGAGCTGGCCGCCTACGAGATGGAGCGAAAGAGGATCCGCGACGAACGAGTTGCCAACCTTGCTAAGAAGCTCAATGACCGCATCTCAGTATGGACCGAGACAGACAAGGCCACCGACGTGACTGCTGCCTTCAAGGAAAAGATACATTTGGAGATTGAAAATCTCAAGATGGAATCTTTTGGTATTGAGATTCTCCACGCAATCGGCACTACCTACACCATGAAGGCCTCTTCATTCCTCAAATCTCAAAAGTTCCTTGGCATCTCCGGCTTCTTCTCCCGCATCAAGGACAAGGGCACACTCGTCAAGGACACCTGGTCCACCATGTCGGCTGCAATTGACGCGCAGCTTACCATGGAAGAAATGGCAAAACTAGAAGAGCAGGGTGGCGAGGCATGGACCGACGAGAAAAAGGCAGAGTATGAAAAGAAGGTCACTGGAAAGATTCTGGCCGCTGCATGGAGAGGTAGCAAGTTTGAGATTCAGAGCGTGCTGCGAGATGTGTGCGACGCGGTGCTCAACGACAAGAAGGTCAAGCTTGAGAAGCGAGTGGAGCGAGCTCATGCTCTCATGATCATTGGAGAGATGTTCCAGAAGGTATGTTTCTTGCTTGTTTCCTGGCTTTGATTGAAATACTTACATGGAATAGGCTGAGCGCGATCCCGAAGAAGAGGGCGACTTCATGGCATTCGAGCAGCTCATGGCCGAGGCTGCGGCCAAGAAAGACGCAAAGGACGAGAAGCACGGAAAGCACCACCACCACGACAAGAAGGAAAAGAAGAAGGAGAAGGCATAAATTTCGAATCCGTCTCTGCGCACGACCTCGTTTACTATCTCCCCTTTTGTTTTCTTTTCTTGATATCCATAGATCTTTCCTCTTCTTTAGCGGCATTTCGGGTCCCCTAGAATGCTAAGAGACGTTTGTCTGGACAAAGTACTCGTGCTCCTTGCAGTGCTAAGGCGGAACGTGAATGAAGGCGATGATGACGCATGTTTGTGGTGGACTTTTTAACGTTTGTAGGCGAAAAAAAGATATTTCCTTGTACAGCATGTAGCAGACGGGGGCATATTGTAATGCAATGCAATGCAAAAAAAGAAAAGAAAACTATGGAGAAACACATATCAGAGCCTCACACATGATTTGGAAGTCCTCATTCAATGCCCACCGGCAGGAATTCCCCGCCCTTCCCCCCCACTAGCTCCAGCCCGCTTCCCCATCGTTTCCTTAATTCCATATATATAGCGAACACCAAGAAAAAAAAACTACAAAAGAGACGATAAAAAAAGATGTAAAAAAAACATATCAGTTCCCGAGTTGAGTCACGTGCAGGCCCCGTGATTGGATGCATACTCATGTCCCGCGCGCGCCATGTCGCGTGTTTTTGCACCCAATGCCGTGCTTTTCTCTAACCCATTGAGACGTACACGGTGCCACTAGGTTTCCGAACTAAAAACGCCTTTTTTTACTTTTTTTACTTTTTGGGGGGTCCACTTGCTGCTTGCACTTTGACTCCAACCCATCCCCCACTTTATGTAGTTGACTCCACTTGGCTTCATACACAGATACAGATACAGTGATGGGGAGAGAGAGAGAGAGAGAGAGAGAGAGATAGTGGAGTAAGTAAAACGCCACGAGGGTATTACCGACTTCGCTTGAATTTTCATGTCTAAATTAGAGCTTTGGCTGGGAATTGGCGAACAGGTGTGGGTGTGTTGTGCATCTTGGATCTTGTGGGCTAAAAATAGGGGGGGAAGGGGAGATCATGCGTGGGAGTATGTGTGTGTGTGTGTGTGTGAGGCTGTGGTTGGGCGTTTTGGTGTGACGACTTGGTGTTGGGTCGTGTGTTTAGGGTTTGGCTGGTATAATGGGGGTTTGTAGGTATATGTGTATGTGTGTGTGTGTGTGTTCATGACAGTATTAATCCTAATAATAATTACAATAAAAGAAATAAACAGATCAAGAATGAGTTCTAAGAGTATCAAATTTAGTTTAGCTTTCCCACGTTGTCGTTTTTGTATTATGAAAACAATAACCGCGCGCCAGCCAAGTAAAACAAGCGAACACAACGTGAAAAGGAAAAAAAACAACAACTCATAGTTTTCCTTTCGCACGGATTTTCAGACAAGACAGATTGTGAATTCCTATGCTATGCCTAACTTTTTTTTGCAGAGTTTGCGATTCCAAGGCTAGAACAATGTATATATGTATGTACAAGAACAGTTCCCCCCCGTATATATATTATAAAGAAAGGTAAGGTAGGACGAAATCTTGATCTTTCTTTAGAAAAAATAGAATATAGCTAATGGAGCTATAATTTAGTGTGTATTCGCGCCACACGCCAACCAGAGGTTGGCGCTAGCCAGCTTAATGCAAATAACTAGCTTAACGCAAATTTTTGCTATAAGCCTATCTAAATTAGCTAATGTTTTAGTAATAATATAAAAATATTCTATATTAGAATAGTAAAGTAATTAAAGAAGCATTAATTACTTATATAATAAGAATTTATAGTATTTTATTTTATTATAAAGTAGCTACTTACTTGATAAGTATATGATAAGCCCTCTATATAGTAGCTTTACTAGCTTTTTTAGGTTTATTTTTAATCTATCAGTTAATAGTAGCGTAAGCATTTACTACTATTAAGACTTTACCTTATAGCACTTAATAATAAGTACTACTTTATTACTTCTAGTATACTATTATAACTATAGTTATATATTAAAGCTTATATTTTACTATTATATAAGTAATGGTAATAGCTATAGCTATTTGAAAAACCTAGTTTACCTAATTTTAATTAAACTCTAAATGATTATTTATACTTACTTAAAGGTTATTATATCGCTAGTAAAGCTCTTACTTAAATTCGTAAGTCAAAGTGTAACAGGCTAGACGCCATTTCGTCGGCTCCTTGATAGTATCTGTTACGGCCAGTGACTACTAGGCAAACAAGGAAGCCAGAGCAAGGGCAGAGAATCAGTGGAAGGATGCGAAGGAGAAGCACGACGCCGCAATCCTACATGCCACGCCGCAGTCACGTGACTGATCGTCAACGATCAGTTAGCCGAACAGCCAATCACGGCATGATCGTACATGATCACTTTATTGATCGTACACGATCACCTTCTTCAGCCAATCAAGATCAGCATAGGACTATGATCGTACACGATCACTTTATTGATCGTACACGATCACTTTATTTACTTAGTATATAGCAGACGCATTAAACCCTTATAGCTTAATGTGTTTAACTTAATAGTTACGAGTACAGTAGTACAATACAGTTTGTATACTGCTAAACCCTTGTTCATATCTCTGACGCTTCATCCGCGAAAACCAACCCAAGAGCCTTGACACCAGGAGCTTTATATTGTTCCCACTCAAGACTTACTCTTAACAGTATTTAAGACGTGTTGAGGTAGGTGGTTATGAGTTGTAGCACCTCTACTATTACTTTTATCTTCCTTATTACTTTGATAAGATTATCTACTTCTATGTTTACATTATCTAGTCAAGAGGATTCTTTTTTCTCTTAAGCCTGCTATACCTTTTTTACTACTATTATTATATTATTTAATTTCTTAGTAGATTTTTAAGACTTAATAAGCCTCTTTATCTTGTGCTATGAATCTCTAAAATCTAAGCTATATAAGTTCTAGATACTTTTTTTCTTCTTATAATAGTTCTTAAGAAAAGCGTAGATAATCTTTAAATTATAAAAACTCTAGTTATCTCTTATACGCGTAGCTTGTTATGGGCGAGAGAGGCCTAACTAACGAGTATGCATTCACCTATTGTACAGAAGAAGAAAGATACAGAAAAGAACTATCTAGAGGGCCCTCCTTTTATAGTTGTTACTCGTACGAACGCTCAGACCTTTAGTTTTCCTCCTTACTTAAGCTTGTTCGTACGTAACGAACCACGTCATTTAGTCACGTGACTAAAGTCATGTGATTCACTGCCATGTGACCTGTAGGTCATGCCTCTCTGGCGTAGCCCTTTACATAGCTATTATTAAGTAAAAGACAAATTCCTTATCCTCTCTTAGCAAGCCTTAGAAGAAAAGTACACTAAGCTTAGATTTTAGAACTATCTTATTAGTTACACACGCGTTAGCTATAGTAGTAAAGTAAGTATAGTACTCTCTAAGTCTAGGCTATCTTCTTAAGCTTCCCTAGATATAGGCTTCTAAGTAAGGGCGCTTTTCTATTAAAACTAAAGTGTCTTAGTTTTTTTAGTATTCCTTTATACTAAACTTAAGCTTCTTCTAATCTTTATCTATATATCTAAGAAGCCTCTTTAAAGTTCTTGATAATAACTTATTCTTACTTAACAGGTAGTTAGGGACAATACAGACTATTATAGCTATAGTAATACCTCCATTAGTAACCTGCCTTTTAAATTCTTCTAAGAATTCTATGATATTAGTACTATTAAAAGATAAGATACTATGCTTAGGGCAGGCTATAGCCACTACTAACGTAGTGTTTGCTATACTCATTTAGTTAGAAATTATAATATAGATGTTGTCCTTCTCTACTATTAGAGTAGCTTCTTCTATAAAAGCTATATTGCTAATAGCAAAGTTACTGATTTAGAAAAATTTACTAACTAATAAGTAACTTCTCTACTGGGTTACTGCTGCCCTATATAGGAAACCATACTTAGATAGATTTTCAACTAATATAGCTTCTTACTTAGATAGATTTCTAACTTACATGAATTCCCTATTCTTTAGAGCGTAATAACTATACTTAGACAGATTTCTAACTAATATAGCTTCTTACTTAGAAAGATTTCTAACTTATTAAAATTCTTTATTCTTTAAAACGTAATATTTTAAAACCTAGCTTGTTTAAATAGTTAGAGTATACTAGAGCTTCTCTTACTCTTGTCTATGCTAACGTCTCCTCTTTTCTTCTATTTTCTTAACAAAATGCTTTATTATTAGCCTCTATAGCTTAGCATTTCCTAACTACGTGCTTTATTAATAGCCTCTATAGCTTAGTATTTCTTACATAGTTGCTTTTTAGCCTATATAAATTAGTATTTCTTTTCTAATAAACTTAATTCTATATTTTCTTAATATTGCTTATACTTATCTCCTTAAAGTAGTTTAGCTATCATTCTAATAGCTTATATTTGCTTACTCTAAATAAATTAGATAAACCTTATTCTCTTCTTCTCTAATAGGTTCTAGTTCTTCTTCTTAGAGTTAGAGGCACTCCTACTACTACTACTCTAAGTAGTATTACTATCTTTCTTATCTTTGCTATTAGTACGTATTAGCTATTCTATCTACTAAGGAGTGAAACATAGCCTTTGAGGCTTTGCTATTTATAAAGGTGTAGTAAAGAACTATAATATCTTCTTAGTAAGTAGAATAGAATAATAAGTTCTTCCCCTCTATCTTGGTAACTAAGAGAGGGGAGAGAGGGAGAAAACACAAGAAGTTAGGCCTTTAAGTAGGGATTTTTCTAAGAGATATTGTTAATTCCTTTTCTTGTAGACTTAGCTACTAATTCATCTTCTCTAAGGGAACTAAGCAGTGCGTAGTTAGCATAAGAGTTACAGTAACTCTGTGCCTTGGCACAATACTTAATAGTAAAATGGATAAGCATACCTTCTTTTATAAATTTATAATACTAGTCTGTTACACGGGGGTCGGCTATACTTCTCTGGTCTCAGTCCGGGTTAGGGCGAGTAGACTAAAGCGGTAGTCCGTGTGATTGTTTGCGAAGTGCTATGTGGAAAAGAGTTATAGGATTTAACCAAAAGAATGAACAATTAATTCTATACTAAGATAGAATAACTAGTATCAATCTGTGTAAGAGATAAACTATTCTAAAGAGTTGACCACAACGAGTATAATAATGAGATCCGACACATTCTTATACCTATTGCCTCTGGTCCTGACATCTGTCCCAGCCTTCGGCATCTCTGATGTCGCTGGCATCCCTAGATGTCCTGGCATCCCCTGAGGAACTGGCATCTCCAGATTCCCTGTCTTGGCGAGATGCCAAATCACGTGACCACGCCCCGCGTTGATCATTACCTTCTGACGTGGACGTCCATAGGCTCCTT